TTTTTTTTTTCCTCTCTTTCCTTTAGAGTGGTAGTCAATGCTCTGACGACATGTTGCTGCAATTGCTGTCACATACGTACTGCCACTTACACGAGCACAAACAAAATCTGCAAGAAACGAAAAAAGAAATAAATAGAACGTCTATCTTTCTTTCTCTCTCTCTCTCTCTCTCTCTCTCTCTCTCTCTCTCTCTCTCTCTCTCTCTCTCTCTCTCTCTTTTTTTTTTTTTTCTTTCAGAGTGGTAGTCAATGCTCTGACGGCATGTAGCTGCAATTGTTATCACATATGTATAACCACTAACACGATCACAAACAAAATTTATAAGGAACGAAAAAATAAATAAATAGAACGTCTCTCTCTCTCTCTCTCTCTCTCTCTCTCTCTCTCTCTCTCTCTCTCTCCGACGCCCAGCAACCTTTTTCTCATGCTCTCTCTCGCGCGCACATCCTCATAAAAGTATCTAGAGAATCGTGCGCTCGTTCCTCATTCACATCCATGGAGTAAAGATGAAAAGTCGCTAGAGAAACCGTTCACTCACTAACGATCTATATGAAACCATGGACGTGAGCAACTATCGTCACAACGTCAATAGCTTGGACAGGCGGGTGCTTACGTGGGTGATGATTCCGGAGAATGACCCCCATTACTAGAGCGAACATCACCGTCACTCAAGAACCGTGAGGCAGCAGAGCTTCTACTCCCGCACCTCCACCTGCTCCTACACCCAACGATCTCACTTCTCCACCCGATCCTCCTCCCACCTTTGCTCCCACTCCCAGTACCCCTCCCCCTCCTATCCCTGGCCACACGGTAGTACCATCCCCCCACAGGCGAGTACAGATTGTGGGCACAGTGAAGCCCACCCACATGCAAGCGTAGAGGAAGGTAGAACCAGAGATTAATTTTTCGAGAATGGATAGTGCATAGAGAATGACCACAACTTTCAAAAACAATCTTAGGTCTGGCCCACTGGCAGCCACGCGTAACACAGTTTCTGCTGCACCCAAGAGATTGACCGCGAACGTCACCAGACAGTTCGCAGATTGAGAAGAAATCTCTCACTTGCGACTTTGATCGATGACCCATCCAGGTGCAGCAATAGCTGCCAGATGATATAGTCCCACAAACACGCATGAGAGAATGAGAAACCCATCCGTGATGTTGGTCGTAGACGAAACTACATGGATAATAGAGAATGTTGCCGCAAAGTATAGCCAGAATGGTTCTTGTTGGTCGCCGCCAGAGCAGCATCTCGGTTATGATGCGCACGAAATCACTGGTGTAAGCTCCGCAATCACATTCCAGGAGGAACAACATACGAGCAGAACCCGGGGATGGAGAAGGATGATATGATGGAGACAATGTTGATGTGGAAATTGATAGGCGGGAACGAGGACGAGGGGCAGATAAACGGGAAGGAGGAGAACGAGGGGAAAAAAAACGACGTAGATGATGCAGACGATGGTTGGGGAAAAGAGAACTCAGGCCGATTGCCCCTGCCATCGTTCATGACGTTGGGTTCACGCATGATGATTCCTACAGACCAACCCTCCTCATGCACCCCCATGACCGACTCATTACCCGCATCGTCTCCACCCTCCCTCACATGAGTTCCGTTTGCCTTTCCTTCACCTATATGCCAATTAATCCCTTCGGCTCGCCCTCGACTTTGAGCGGCAGGGTCGGATCACTTGCAGGAAATAACAATGAATGAATTTGCCTTGTTTCAACGCAGATGCACTCGTTTTTTCTCCGCATTTTGTTTTGTTTCGGGGCAGATGCACTCGTTTTTTCTCCGTTTCGTGTGCCTTGTGGCTATGCCATCTCTCTCTCTCTCTTTCTCTCTCTCTCTTTCCCTTTCTCTCTCTCTCTCTCTCTCTCTCTCTCTCTCTCTCTCTCTCTCTCTC